TAAGTCCCAGTTAATCCCGATCAACTCGGGAATTAACTGCAGTTGATCCGGATTAAGTCCCAAATAATCCCGATCAACGCTGGCGTCTGTTTAAGCTTTTAGGCGCAATTGTTTAGTTAGCTAAAAAAAAATGCTTTAAGCGAGATCTTAATATATATATATATATATATATATATATATATATATATATATATATATATATCTCTTTTACATATCTTTATTTGTTAATATAAAAAGAAAGAAGATCTCAATGTAGCTTAAAATACACTGTTTAAAAAACTAAATTTGATTGTTTTAAGGAAATTTTTATGAATTTTACTGAAAAGACTTTAAATACACTCTAAATTTTTTTTGTTTATTTGCGCATATTAAGAAAGGTAACCAGTTTCCCCTTCTAATGTGTGCAAATTTGCACACCAAGTAATAAAATTAAACACTGCCTGTTTACTTTAACATACCAAATTTGTCGCAGAGCGCAAAATAACACATAAAATGTTTAAAATAGAGTAAATGTAAGCCCCTAATGTTTATTATTTGTAGGAAATGTATTTTTAGTTTCAAAATTTTTGCAACTTTAAACATTTCATGTGTATATTTATGTGTATATTTTAAAGATCTCAAGTTCAAAATCGAATCCTGAACATCTTATACGTATGTATATTTATACAGATTCCTGTTGAAAAATAGATATTTTTGAGTAGTAGTTTTACACACACTTTTCATAGTGTACAGGTACAAACGTAACATATTAATTACTATTTTGGATACTTACTTTGCAAAATACTTATGTATGAAAGATGTAATTTATAAATTGAAATTACAAATGTTTGATTTTATGAAATATAAAAATATATATACACGTATTCCAAGTCCTTAGGAATGCACTCTAAAAAATTTTTGTGTAAATTTGCGCATATTAAGATAGGTAACCAGTTTCCTCTCTTAATGAATGCAAATTTACACACTGCTTGCTTACTTTTACTTATCATATGTTTGGCGTAGAACAAATTTCATTTTTTTTTTTTGAGTTTTAAACATTTATTGTTCACATTTTCATAGTTTACACATAAAATGTTTAAAGTTTCCTCTAAAAAATTGTCGTTTAAATTTACGCATATAGAGAGAGAGGTAACCAGTTTCCTCTCCTAGTGTGTGCAAAGTTAAACACTGTCTGTTTACTTTTACATATCAAATTTGTCACGTAGCGCACNTTTTTTTTTTTTGAGTTTTAAACATTTATTGTTCACATTTTCATAGTTTACACATAAAATGTTTAAAGTTTCCTCTAAAAAATTGTCGTTTAAATTTACGCATATAAAGAGAGGTAACCAGTTTCCTCTCCTAGTGTGTGCAAAGTTAAACACTGTCTGTTTACTTTTACATATCAAATTTGTCACGTAGCGCACACAAGGGGTGGGTTTTGGGGTTAAATTTATTATGATTTAAGAAATTTTGATAGAAAAAATTTTTTTTTTCCGTTTCTTGTGCGTCATTTTGTAAGATTTTTATTTTTTCTTGAGAGCTCTTTAAAGTTTAACTGCGAATGAAAACATTGTCCGAAAACATGCAATGCATGCTCACTTACTGTTGCTTTTTACACTTTACGGCCTAAAAAATTTACCACTGATATGTACTTAACAAGCATTCGAAGATGTAATTTGCTAACATGATAAAAATACAAGTTCAGCTAAATTTTCGTTATTCGAAGTATTAAAAAACGAGAAACCAGAAATCGACTAAAATGAATAAAAAAGTGTAATAATTTCGTGAAATTATTTAATTTATTTATATTAAAATTCTTTTGTAAAATTTTGTATTACTTTTGAAAGTTGAGTGCATCTTTAACCGTTAATTTTTTCATAATTTAATGATCGGATCTAAACCAAATTACGGGACGATCTTTAAATGCCAGTTATGAAACTTTGAAAAGTTAATTTTTTTATTTCATTCTGTACATAAAACTTGCATAAATGTATTTTAAAGAGCGAATTTTCAGTATTTTCTGATGATATATATTTAGAAGTATAAATCCTTTCCCCCAAAAAATATATTCCTGCGTGCGCCCCTGGCACTTAGTATTTATTATTTGTAAAAAATATATTTTTACTTTTATAATGTTTGTAATTTTAAATATTTCATGTGTATATTTTAAGCAACTCATGTTCAAAATCAAATCTTGAACATCTTGTGCGTATACTTGAACAGATTCTGGTTGAAAAATAAACACTTTTCAGTAGTAGTTTTACATGCACTTTTTAGAGTGTNAAAATCAAATCTTGAACATCTTGTGCGTATACTTGAACAGATTCTGGTTGAAAAATAAACACTTTTCAGTAGTAGTTTTACATACAATTTTTAGAGTGTGGGTTAAATTATGTATTTTTCTTCAAAATGTTTGGGTTTCTTACAAATTATGAGATGGATACGTAAAAAAAGAAAATTGGATGCATTTCGATACATTTTTGGCTTGGTCGGTGATACATTTTCTTGGGACGGCGCGGCAACACTACTAGTAATATCGATTGGGTACAAAATCCATTTACGAAACATTCATAGATCTCCAGAGTACTTCGACATTGAAGCACACCTTTGGGTCTGTGTCTCTGAACGAGTTTGGGGTTAGTGTTAAGAGTGAATACCATGAAATAGCCAAAAAAGCTACCTTAACTTTTCTTTCTTCTATCACAACTTATCGTTTGAGAACCCCTGTTCTAAAATTCCATAATAATGTTTTTTATTTTTAAAGGGTTGTTGTGAGTATCAACCACGGTGCCACGCCCATTTTCCAAAATTTGGTTAAGGTGCGGTTTAACTTGGCAACTCAAGCGCTTACTACGCATTTTTCTGTCAGAATGTGAATTCGAAAGTTACTTTCCTGTGTAAGCAGCCAGAAAGTCCTTTTTGCAGATTTGCAGAAATCACTTTCGGAAATAAAAATTGCAAGGTGTAACTGCAACTGAAATTACGCAAATCGCTTTCGAGAAGTAATTTCATCTCATCAAGTGTTGCCGTGTGACGCGTCTTTACATAAGTATTAAGGTATTAGACATTTTGTGACTGTTTTGTGCACATTTTAGGTTAAGTAAATTTTTCAAGTCATTAATTTTGTTATAAGCCTAAAAATGTCTTTTAATTTAGTTAAAAGCAAACACGTTTGCATTCACCGTGTAAACAGACAAAAAGTAGTATCGGAAATTTTGGCTTTCGGAAATAAAAACTGCTTTCGAAAGTCACTTTACATGCAAAGTGTAACTGCTCTTGCAATCAGTTTTGGAAATTCCTTAGTTTGACAGACTTTTGAAAAGGACATGCACTTTCCACGTCTAACAGCTACTTTACAAACGTAAATGATGATTATTGCAAACATAAATTTTGAATAAATTAGCTTCAGTATTTACTGATTTATCGAACATATCGTATTTCCCTAAATTACCGTTATTTGGGTGCTGGGCGTTAATATTTTCTGATTTTAAAACTTTTCAGCCGTTTGCTATGCTTTGTCAAGCCCAACCACTGTTCCAAGTTTGGGAGAAATTGGTGGAGCGATTACCAAGGTATGCACATGTAATCAGAAGTGGGCGTGGCTAGTCCCATTTCCCAAAAATTTATAATTAATTCTCTTACTTTTCGCCTAAAAGTCATTGCAAATATCAGTGTTGAGTGAATAAGCTTCAGTACCGTTATCTGAAAGGTAGGCGTGGCTATTGTCCGATTTTGCCCATTTCCATTGCCATCCGTCCTACGCTGAAAGAAGTACACATACCAAGTTTCGTTAAGATATCGCAATTTTTACTCGAGCTATCGTGTGCACAGACGCACAGATGGTCGGGCGTACACATTTATCTATATCTATCTCGATAAAATATGATTTATTCATTATGATATACAGACGCCTTAGAGGTACGCTTAAAAAAATTGTATTTGGAGGAATACTCATCTTGCCCAGTATTTGTCCGAGATTCAAATTTGTGGTGTGAAAGGAGCGATCGATTTAAGAAACAATTTGTTTTGGATGATAATCGAACCTGGGCCCCACCGATATATCTAATAGATCTTGAAAAATCGGAATTCTTCCTACAAAGTATAATTACCGAACGAATAAAATATTGAAAATAACTAATCTAGTCACATTGTGTTGATTCAAAAGTATTAAGGACTTATAGTGGAAAAGTCGATTGAATTTACGAAAATACCCGTTGAGATTTCAAGTTCATTTAGTGATGAATACATATTACTTTACAATAGTTTTAGGAGGGCCAATTGGTTTTTTGCCTTCATGTGCCTGAGAGTGAACGTTTCAACTTCATCGCCCACACTCTGTATCGGCAAATGCTGCACCAAATATTTGCGTTATATACTCAGCGGCCTTTAGACTCTTTTAAAGCATCTCTGTATTGGATTCGATTACTTTATCACTCAATGCAGCCGATCACTGGGCACCACCATCACTGCAATACAAATAACCACTTTGAATATAAATATGTCAATAAATTTTTGGCAAAGCTGTGGCAACATCAACTGCAGTCGCGCCAACAAGGGGAGTATCCTCGTAAAATATAAAAATTTCGCCGACTCTTGCATCTGACCGACCGGCGACTCTCAATACAATGCGCCAAAATGCATTTAATGTTCGCAGCCGTTGCTAAAAGTACGTGCATTGCAAGCGAATTGTGCGATTTAGCAACGAATTTCGTCGAATAGTAGAGTAAATATGTTTTGTATCTTCCGCGCGAATGGATGGTAAGCACAGGCAAGACACGCGTGTGTAGGTGTAGCCAGCCAACTATTGAGCTAAAGTGCTTCGAAATGCTTAAACTCTATGGTGGAAGTGCAGTTACGTAGATACGTACATACGTAACAACCTACTTGTATTTATATATTGTGTATGTATTAAAGTGTATTTGCGGACATTAGACAACTTTGTTGCACTCAGTAGCAGTTTTTAGCTTAAACTTTAGCAACTAAAATACTTAAAGTGCAACTTTAGCATCATCACTTACCTGCTCCACCCACACGTTCGTCGTCATGATTTGATTTTTTAAATTCTGCAAAGAGAGAGAGGAGAAAGTAATCACAAGTTAGTAAATAAGTAAGATGTTTTTGGCAATTTCAAAAACAAGCAAGATAAATGTGTCGAAGAAAGAGCTCATTTTAAGAAACTCAATTGGCTAAAAATTAAAATCGAAAACTTGTAAAAAGAAATCTAAAGTATAAAAAAAATAATAAGATGCCTATTTTTAAGTGATTAATGTAGTTTGCACCCTTTAAATTAGTTCTTACAAAATATTAGGGCTAAAGTTGAGAAGAAAATTGAAGTTCTGATACGGATTTAAAGCTTAGAATCCAGCTTTCAAGAAAAATCACAAGAAATATTTTTTATTCTTTCTGTGGCTGGAAAAAGCACTTTGGTTTTGCCCGCAAATTTTCTTAAAGGGATAAATATACGAGCATTTTTTTCTTGAGAGCTCCGAACCGATTTAAGATTTTGATAGAAGAAAATTCCTTTTCCATTTCTTGTGCGTCATTTTATATGACTTTTTCGTTTTTCTTGAGAGCTCTTAAAAGTTTAACTGCGAATGAAAACAGTGTCCTATAAATATGCAATGCATACTCATTTACTGTTGTTTTTTTTACACATTTACAGCCTAAAAGGGTTTACCACCAAAGAGGGATTCGAATATTTAATTCGCCAACTTCGAATTCGTTCCACCAAAATGAGCTACATAATAAAAATACAAGTTCAGTTAATTTCTACGGTATTCGAAATATTAAAAAATTGAGGCAATCGTGAAAAATCACCATCTCCAAGAAAACCAGAAATCTAGGAAAATGAACATTAAAACTCTTTTCTTACATTTTTTTTATTAAACAAGTAGTTTTCAAGCATATAGTACATATTTAGGAGTACCGTTAATTTTTTCATGATCCAATGATCGTATCTAAACCAAATTACGATAAAAAAAAGAATTATTGAAATCGGTTCACGTGGTCCAAAATTATGCGGTACATGCACAAAAAAAGAAAAAAATATTCCGACGAGTTGATAACCTCCCTCTTTGTTTTAAGTCGGTTAAAAATGTTTCAGTTCTTTGTTACTTTTATGTACGTAAATAAATTGCAATTTATGAAACTTTAAAAAGTTAATTTATTTATTACATACTGTACATAAAACTTGCATGCATTTATTTTGAAAAGCATATGAGGACATGATGCCAAAGTAGCCTATCCGACATTTCGAAAAAAGTTGAGGTGCACCTTAACATACATTACTAGAATGGAAACAATACTAGCTCGACCATTTTTTCGTACCAAAAAAAAAAAAGAAGCAATTTACTCCTTTCATGTACTGCCAATACTTTAATTTTCATATGTTAGTGTCGAACTTCACAACTTAGATAATCGAATGCATTTTCTCAGATTTAAAGTACGGACGATACGAGCATACGAGCAACAGAAGGTGCTGAGATTTGTTGAAATTGCAAAATATGCTAAAAGTTTATTTCTTAAGAAATTTGATAATCAAACTTTAGCAAATAAGTCACTCAAGAACAGCGTTGGAAAAAATATACAAAAAGGGATTGAAAAAGCAAAAACAATGTACAAAAACTAAAGCAATGAGAAAAGCGTGCGATCGAAAGTTTTCCGTTGCAACTAAAATTCCTGAAATATTACCCATACATACATAGCTCCGTTGAGTGCTATGCAGCTGGAGAATTTTCGGAGTAAACGCATAGTAGTGAAAAGTTTTCCAGTTTCGACTTGGAGCATAGAGGAATTGAAGGAAATGTGTATGAGCAGGGATGCACATATACTTAACCATTTTATTTATTATATACAAACATATGTATATGTCTGTACTTTTGTGTTGACAGCCAATTTTTTGGAATCACTATTTTCTTGCAACCGCATTCTTTCTTACACTTATTCGAGTGTTTGTTTCGGTTCAACTGCAATTGTGGCGCCGTTTCAAATTGTTTGATGTAATTTCAGAAATTTTGCAAAGTTTCAAATATTCTTGTTTATTTAACTGCTAACTTGTGTTCTTTTAGAGAGTTTTGTAATAACTTCTATGTGTATTTTTGATGAAAATTGGCATTTCAATGACACGGCTGATACGAGTACTTGTCCGTTTTTGAATGTGCATTACAAAATTCAAAGCGATGAAATTATAATAATAACATTTATTTTGAATCGCAATAATTGGTCGCACTTTTGGGTATCCAGTTAGGGTCTGATTATGCATACTTCGCATAACTTCGCACAACCATTTGTACCAGTGCATTAAAAATGTAGCTTAAGAAAATGTGAAGCAAAATCTAAACTCAACAGATCGCTAAGTTCTTAAAAGTTCTGCTAATTTCTGGGTAATGGAATACATACAAAATACATACAAAGTACATACGAAACTACAGTTTGAAGTTTATGCGAAGTTGTGCGAAGTTATGCGAAGTATGCATAATCAGACCATTACAGTTGTGCAACTATGTATACTCAAACCTGACTATCGCGTCTTCGTTCGTGTTCTCTAGGCATTGTGAGATATATGTGACCTGGTCTACGGAAAGGGGGCTTAGGTGTCAAAAAATCAATTTTCACTTTTTGGTTGATTCGGATGGAAGATGAGATGCTTTTTCACGTGGTGAAAAGCAGAAAATCCTAACTTGCTTAGAAGTGTACTAAAAATGTAGAGAAAGAAGAGTAAAAACGAGTAAACGAAACGAGTTGCTTACTTTTAACAGCTTTTTCACAGAAAACTAGTTTTCGCACGTAAGCTCCCTTTTCGTAGACCAGGTCACATATGTACTTGCGCGAGGCAGGATATGCGGCATAGGCCAGCAACGCAACCCTCAAGTGTGCCATACGGAGCAGCGTGTGTTTAAAATAAACGATATGCAGGCAGAACTAAAAAATAACCAGCAACGTGAACCGGTTTTGAGCCAACCGGTTTCAACCGGAAAATCGCCTTTTCTATTAATTAACTGAACCATTAACCGAACCGAAAACCGAACCACTTTTCATTTAGGTTTAAAGGCTCGCTTCAACCAATTTTCAATATTTAAATTTACCCACTTTCTTTTTCTTTTTGTTAAATATATTATTACATACCATGTTTGCTTACCATGTGGCAATATCAAATAAAATGACAACCCATCTCACTTGACAGACACTTGAAACTTAAACTTGCGCGTTATTTTTTTTTGATCCCCGAATCGTTGAACCAAATCGAACCCCCGGTTTAAAGGCCAAAAAAAAAAAAAGCTTTGTCGTTTTTGGTTATTAAGTGAGAGAAGTGCTTTTGTTCGCGCATGTTACTGCAATAAAAATTTCAATTTCACAGTGTTGCCACTTAAATGAAATTGATCTGAGACCCTACGAAAGTGAAATGGATTTTAAATAACAATCCAAGATTAAACTTAAGTGTAGTTTAAATTTTTATCTGAAATTGGCCCTAAGGCTAATCAATAAATGTCTACTGATGCATACTATACTCGTGCTACTTGATAAAAACTTAACGTATTTGTATGTAGTTAGCGGTAATTTCAATGGTTCAATATTTTCAAATTCTCTGTAAATGGCGAGAAGTTGGTCAGTTATTCTGTCTGGTTCATTATGTAAATTTGGATACTTTACATACTAGGGGTAATGAATTAGCGGGTTGTCTTTATACGGGTACCCGAATAGAGGGTTATCTTTATCGAGTACCCGGGTAGCAGGTTAGCTTTGCCAACGGTAGTGGGTAATCTTTTATTAGTTTCCGAGTACCCGGGTAAAGGGTAATATTTTTCCGGCCACCCGGGTAGCAGGTTATCTATATCTGGGTACCCGGTTGGAGGGTAAAATTTAACCGGGTACTTAGGTAGCGGGTTACCTTTATCCCTGTGTCCGGGTTAGATGTTACCTTTAGCCGAGTATCCAGAGGTTATCCTTATCTGGGTATCCGCGTAGGGGATTATCTTTATCCGGGTATATGGGTGATTTTTAAATTTAAGCATACTGATTTGCGATTATATCATTTTCTCTACCGTAGGGTGAATGATTATAATACATCTTAAGCCAATTCCAAGGCTACGATGACCGGATTGAAGAAGTCGTTTCCGGCATTTTTTTTACAGAATATTGTGTGCTCTTTTTAGTATGTGAAAAAGACATATCCTCGCCATGTAGAAATATTACCCCCGTATTATTTGATTTAGGTGGACCCCTGCTTGATACCAGGCTACCGAGTATCCGGGTAGTAGTTTCGACAATTAATGGTTATCATAATACGAGAGATTGAGAAAGTTTTAAAATAATAATAGCTTAAGTTTCGAGCACAAGCTAACACATGAAATGTACTTACAGTTTCACGCGAAGGAGTTTTATTTTTACAAGGAGACTTGAAGAGGTTTTCTAACTTAGCTCGCCTTTAAACTTAAGGTACAAAATTACCCACACGAAAATCCCCTTCTTTGGAGCTAAAGCGTGACTAGAATTTTATATATCTTTGAAAGTATTTTGTAGATAATTTGATACATAGCGATAATTCGATAAACTTCAAAAACACTAAAATCCGATAACTAAAAAAATTCGATAACTCGACTGATTTCCATAACTGTGCATCTCGAGGGCTGGATAGATTTTGATAACTCGAAAATGGATATATCCTAATATAAATCGATAACTCGATAAACTTTTGATACCTATATAAATTTCGATAAATCGGTTAATTTTGACTGCTCCATATTTTTTGAAAGCTATCGACAAATTTCAATAACTCGTTACACTCTCGTAACACGGTAAAATTCGATAAGCAGTGATAACTCGATAATTCAATAAATATCGACAACTTGATAAATTTCACTAATTTTTGAAGTTCACAAATTTTTGATAGTCCCAGAAGTTTTTATAGCTCGAGAAATATCCGGAAATCCACAAAGTTTCTGTGTATATAAATTTCGACAACTCATTGAACATTGATCAAACTGAATTCTTCCATACATTGTGATAACTGAAAATTCATGTTAATATATTTCGATAAATTTCGATAAGCATATGTTTCGGAAAC